GAATTTACAGAATTTCTAAACGTTTATGAAATCCTCATGAAACTTTGAACGTCTTAACGTTTAGAAATATCTTCACAATCTAGAATTGTTTTAGGTACTGCCATTCCGACGTAGTATATATTTCTCTTGTAAAATAACACGTAGGTAGTGAATAAATAGATATGCTTGTCCGAATAAAGATACCGACGAACGGAAAGATTAGTAAGTAGAATAAACATAAACTCACTTTATATTACGAACGAAAGGCGTGAGCTGCTTTAGAGCACCGACGAGAACGATAATGGCAACGATCCAAGGAAATATTTCAATCGGCAACGGTCCGTGACTTACGAAACACGTTCTTTGGGACACATCAAGAAATGGAGAGGAAAAGGGAGTAATGAAGAAAGAGAGAGAGAGAGAGAGGAAGAGAGAGAGAGAGAGAAAGGGAAAGAGAAAGGTGCATTCGGTTTTAAATTTGACAGCATCGTTAAGAGAAATAATTAAGACAAAACCGTGCCAGTATGTCCATCAAGGTGATGCCTACATCGAGGAGAGATTAACGGCGTCGATTTGTGGATGGGAGATTAGACTTCTGAGACATCCTGTAGGGGCGTGCCCGGCTTGTACGTTTTCTTCCTCTTTCTTTCTTTCTCTCTCTCTCTCTCTCTCTTTCTCTCTCTCTCTCTCTCTCTCTCTCATCTTCGCAAAGCCAAGGAGAAGAAAACTTTGGAAATAAGACGATGTCGGGAGGCCCCAGACGCAACTCCGACCGAGTAAATCGAGGCGTACGCTAAAATGGAACCGTACAAAGTACCATTTCATAAATCTTACCCGGAAAAGCGTACGGCATGCGAGAGGGAAAAAGGTGGAAGGGAGGCCCGAAGGAGGAGGAGGAGGAGGAGGAGGGAAAAGAAAACTGTTGATAGATGAGAAACTCCGTGGAAGAGAAAGACCCTAGGAGAGGTGAAAGGAGAGGGGAAAAAGAAGAGATGGAGTCGGTGGGGTTGCTGGAGGAACATTATTTCGGTGAGAGCGTATCATATTATAAACCGCGCCTCCTTCGATAGTGTGAGTACAATGGCAAAGTGCCTTGCGTTACGCTCACGCGCGCCTATGCCTTGGGAAGGTGAGTGGGTGGAAGCGGGAGATAAAGATTCGAGGGTACGGGTACTTGGATAGGATGAAAGGGAGAAGAGAGGACTATATTTCCCTTCCTCCTTTCAAATGGATCTTGTTCTTTCTCGTAATTTTACGCTATTGTACGTCACGATGGAACGCCGATTATTTATCGGAAATAATAAATATCTAATGGGAAAATATCGAATCTTTTTTTTTTTTACGTTTTCTTTCTTTTTTCTTTTTCTTTCTCTTTTTTTTTTTCTTTTTTTCATTGTATTTCAAAAACTGTTCTCCTGAAAAAGAGAATATAAAAAGTTATATCCGTCGGAGAAACGATCTTGTCTTTATTAATACGAACATGTATTCTTTTCGCACGACGTAAAGAAAAGAATAGATAGAAAAGCCGAAGGAAAGACAATGTGTCATCAGCGAGGGGTTGGTTAGGAATACGGAGACTGCTACTGCTCCTTCGAAGGAAGTGCCAGGCTTCTTTTCTCCCGTTTCCTTTCTTTACCCTAAAGCCAAGAAAAATCCCAAGTAATCCGCCTGCAAGGATTACTCCCTCCCCCTTCAAAAGTTCCACCCTTGTGTTTCATATAGCCTGCGAGAGATAACGCGACCCGCGTGTCACGTAGGGATAACTTCGACTCAGCAAGGAAAAAGCTTTAGTATTGCGCCTTTTCAATCGCAAACGAGATTATTAAGAAGCGTTTTCAAAAACAATCGATTTGAAAAAAAAAAAAAAGAAAAAAAAAGGAAAGAAAAACAAATTATATCTAAAATAATGCGATTGTATTAAAAATATTTCGAATGCGTATTAATTCTCATATTCTTATTCCCTACCTTCACCCCTTCCTTTAAACTTTAATTCATTTAACAACTATTTTATTCATTGCATGAGATATTTTGTAGTTACGAAAATTCGACGAGGAAACACCTGTGTCCTTTCCCTTCACCTGAACGCATACGATGCGACGACGGTCCGGTATATAAGAGAAAGAGAGAGAGAGAGAGAGAGAGAGAGAAGAAAGAGAGAAAGAGAGAGAGAGAGAAAGAGAGAGAGAGAGAGAGAGAGAGAGAGAAAGGGAAACGGAGTCGCTGAGAAAGGAGGAGGGCTTCGAATGGATTTATGTCATGGAAGGTAAACGCCTCGCGTTAAAGTACAATAAATTTATTCGGCCGACATTAATGAATAGCAAGGTACTTAAAGTCCGTAGACGTGTAGTGCCAATGGTGCATCGGACTAATAACAAAGTATAACGATTCCCGTTACAACGATGATTGAGAATAATTATTAAGCTTCCGCTTTGACGAAAAACAAACGGTTTTACACATTCTTCGGACATTTTTAATTTACTTAGACAAACAACGTTCGGTATCTCGTTTGAAGGTATAAAAA